TTGGCTTACTGTTCATGTCTCTTAGAGCGTGACAGGTGCAGCTTGATTTGCAGACTCCTTTCATTCGAGGAAAAGTAAGAGTCGTCACTGCTACTCTGTGAGTTCCCCTCATGTTTCTATATGTATAAGTAAATATATACACCATCTGAGACTCAGATCAGCAGCCCTCTGATCAGTAGCCACAAGCATCGAACACCATCTGAGTGCCTCAAGAAATTCACCGAGAGCCATCCCTAAACCCAAAACAGGTGTCGGTCGGAGACGCGACGTAAACCGCTGGACGGTCGGTCGGGTCACTGATCACTCCACCTGAAGGGGCCCAGGTGCTGATCCGGAAGGAGGTCCAAAAGGAAGGGGGTGGGAAGATGAGCTGCAGGTGGGTTCGGGGTTCTACAGTATCAGTACAATGGTTCTATAATGTTTTGTCTGAATGTTGGTTTCTCTCTGAAGGTCTTTGGGCATGGTTCGTGGTCCAACGATCTTCTGAGGATTCTCAGGACAGATCCTGGCTTAGAAGTGCACCCTTGTCCCAACTGTGGTGAGCCACCATTTGTAGTTCACGTTTTGTCCTTACTTCTCGTAATAACTTACAAAGGTGCTAGGGCCAACAGCAGTGGGAAAGGGGTGATGAAAGGTGTCTAACAAAACCTGGAACTAACACCGGTGATTGGAAGTTCAGGTTCCTCTACAAACATGAGGTGAACTCCGCTTCCACAGTATCCCTAGCACTTCCTGTCTGGGTGTCCCATGCATGATGCATACCGGCCTAGGGTATGTAGGGTAGGGTAGCCAGGACACCGTCTAGGAAGATCCTTCTCCTTTCAGGATTCCCAACAAAGCTTGTGCGACCCGAACTAGGACCCGTCACCCGAACTAGGGTACCAAACGAGCTCCGGAGAGTCCGCCCGAGCTCCGAACAGTCGGCTTCTTCAACCCCTGCTGGTCGATCCGCCCCGGGTTCTGTCTCTACAGTCCCCGGTGGCGCACACGCGCGCGCGCGGCCGTAGGCGCCCTGGAGGATCCGCGATTTGCCTCGTGCCTCCTTGCTGCGAGATGCTTGGCCGTGGGGGCTGGCAACATCGCATCCCAGACGAATGGGAATCGTTTCAGTACTAGTACATACTCATGTATGACTCGAACGAAAAAAGGCAAGGCAGCTGGCGGGACCCAGCACGTGTTCACATGGGACCCTGCACACGGGTCCGAGGCTGCAAGTCGCCCCACGCCGCGACATGGTGTGTGAGGCATCCACCACGGTCCACCAACATCATGAGCTCTGGACAATTAGTTGGTTAAAAAAACATAACTGTCCAGTCAAACTGTTGCAAAGCAAGAAACGTGGAATCTTACAACTATAGAACTACAAAATTCATGGTTTTGCGTTTGTTGTGCGCATGTGTGTTAGTGTGTGCGTGTGTGTTGCAAATTGTTTTCGTCTGATATTTGCGAAGATTGTGTTTGTTTGTGTTTGTTTTTCTTTGTGTGTGTGTGTTTGTTTTCTAGGGAGGACTGGTTGGACTGTGCATACCTCATCTGTCCTTTTCTATTCCCACTGTATTTCCTTATTTCGTTTCCTTAATTTTGTGGCCTTAGAATTAATGAAAAATACATAAAATAGTGTTTATTTCCTTTTCAGCCTGTTCAGAAATAAGGATTTCAAGACCTTCACATGTTCGGTCGTTTTTTATTTCTTTATTTCCATGCCCTTCGAGGGGGGTGGGTTAGGGGGGGAGGTGTAAACATGTATGATGATATGCAGATCAAATAACAAATAGGTCAAACAAAAAGCTTTTTGTGCGTGAAATGAACAAACATAGACACCTTTTGGACAAAACACTACTCAAGTCTGTTTTTTTCACTTTGAGATGACTCATTCAGAACTGGTAGAAACATTTAGGCACATGCATTTTGGGAAAATACATTCACACTTCCACTGATGCGAATGAGATGTTGCCCCGGGCAAAAGCACAGTTGTATGACTTATTGAATCTTTGAATCTTTGAGTGATTTTCATTGACCCGAAGATGGTTCGGTGACAGCTGAGTAGCATTCATGTCCCTGTTTATGACACCTTCCACCGCCCCGCAAAGGGGGTCTACCAGCACGGAGCTTGGACAGATCGATGTCGTCTTCCCTCCACCGTGCCATGGACCAGGAGAGATGTCACTCGAGATGATCAGCGTGAATGATGGGAGCTTCCAATTTCCACTGCCGGACTTCTATACCGAGGCCGGAAGACACATTGCCAGGCAGTGATATGCGTGTGCTTCACTTGCACAGAAGATGAATTCTGAACTGGGCACAAATCATCAGCGAACTGCTTGGAGTTCGAACTGGGCGCGATTGGGAGAATCGAACGGCATTCTTTTTATCATTGTACTCCCCTGCACATGGAACCATATGGAACCCCGAACCATCTGGAACCCCAAAAGCCCTGGGTTATTCGGAAAATGGTTGCAGCCCATGGTTGTCAACTCTGAAACATTTTTTGAAAAAATCGGATGACCGTGGAACAATATTCATCAATATCTTGAAGCAAAAGTTCTTCATGATTTGATCCAATAGTTCTTCATCAAAATCGTCCCAAAACCCGGTATTCATTCGATCCCTGTTTCGCATCTGAACCTGTGTCGTCACAGACATGGTGTCCACCAACCCTCCGTCCCGCTCGGCGCCCGGCCCCCTCGCGCCCTGCGCCCGGCACGTTTTTGGCCGCAGGTGGAGACTGGAAGCCATAGCCTCAATCTGGAAGATCAGAGTTCAGCTCCAGTCTTAGCCAAGGCCTTTCAGGCACGAACGGCGACCGGTCCCTGTCTCGATCACCAAGCTGGGTCGAGGCGTTGAAGGTCCGTGTAGCGTCGTCTTCGCGCATGGGGGGTGTCAGATGGGCTCGGAACTGATCGCTGGGCTCGGATGGGGGGCGGTTGGCATGAGCTGGAGTTGGCCATCCGGTGTTGTTGACTGTTAGCATGTTAATTCATATTAATTATTGTTTGAGCACTTTCCCCTAGTAGATGCCGGAGGGTACAACATCAACATCTCCATTACAACAAAGAGAGGGTTTGGTACAGGGGGGTTCTCAATTAACAGCCAAAGGAGCAAACTCACAGGTCTTCCCTCGCCAACTCAACTCAAACTGCAAGAAGGTTGGGCACCCCACTTCACCTTTTGTGAACTCAGACAAATGGATTCTTCCATGGTCCTGGACCAGGAGCTTCTGAGAGAAACTCTGATTACTTTGAGGGACCAGTAGCGACACGGCGACACGTTGGGCATGCAAAGCAAGATCCATATAAAGCATCTCCCCTTCAACATCTCCATCCTTTCAACTTCCTTCCCCCCTTAACCTGAAGCTTCGCATATGGTGGGAACCTCCCCATCAGCTGGGAAGGCTTCCCATCCGACCTTGGTCCACGACCACTTCCTTACACACGCACTTCCTGTCGCGCACGTGTACTTCCTTCTCCGCCAGCGGAGGCGTTGCTGAGCATCTTGGCTTTGCCCTTGACACCGCATGGCTCTGGAGGACTCTTAGAGAGGCGAGCGAGGGGGTCGACGTAGCCCGACGTCGGTCGACTGAGTCGACTGAGTCGACCGGCTCCGGGACACAGATTTGGGCCGGCGGTCGGCGTAGGTGGACCGGGGGGTCTATGTCGGTTGGTATTCCAGTGCCATGAAAGAGTTCTCTTCATGTTCTTAGATTGTTTTCCCGAATGCGTAGCGAAGGGTTCTCGTTTAACTCTGGGGGTCTGGGGGTAGAGCCTTGTTGTCCCACAAGAGTGTCCTACAAGAGTGTCATTTGGACATATGTAGCTTTTTGAACGTGTTTGCATTCGGGTTCGTGGGCTCCATCTTGTATTTGTATATACTTGGTCATCTTGGTTCTACAGTTCTATACGTCTTTTCACTTTTCAATTCAACAGGGTAGGGCCAACGACCACTTGTCTCACTCAGACAAAGGTGGCTCTGGCAGGGAAAGAATGAGGGATTGGTGTTGAGATGTTTGGATTGACATGTTTGCTTTTTTTGTTTCAATTTTGGCAACTCGAGTTGAAGTCACCCCAGACAACATTGTGTGGCTCTTTGGGGTGACACAATTTGCCTGAAACCCCTGGAAAGCCAAGAATCAACCAACATGTGATTAGTCACCCACTCTTGAAACAAAGACTCCACTCTTTGCCCTTCTTTGCCCCTCTTTGTCCCAACCTGATGCTTTTCCCGCCTTGGGGCCTGTGGAAGAACCACCGGCCACTTGCCCGGTTCACGTTCCGGCCGTGGGGCGGAAGATGGCCAGGCAGGTGGCCCAAATCTGCCAGCGGCTGGCGAGCTTGGAAGATGGGCCCAGGCCGCGTCGGGCGTCCGAGTCCAACGCTGAACACGGAGATGGGCCCAGGCCGTTGAGTCGAAAAGGACTTCAAATGGGATGGTTCCTGTTTTCTTTTTCTTCAGACATTCTCGACTTTGGATGCTGAGCATCCAACAAAAAGCCACCTTTCATTGGTGGCATCTTGGCTTGCCTTTCGTGAAGATATCACATCATGTCATATCCCTTTGAAGCCCTTCTTCTTCCTCCTCTTCTTCTTCTTCGTCTTCTTCTTCTTAGACAACTTCTAAATTCAGATCTTGCAAGTCCGTCTCAACGGACCTTCTTCTTTCTTTTTTCCCCGGAACAGGAAGAGGGCGGAGAGGGGCGCCGATGACAGCCGCAGCACCTCCAACTTCGTGGCGACGACGAACTCGGCGCCTTCTGATGAAGCCCAGCTGGTCCGCGCTCGCGAGCGCGGGCTCCGCGCGGAGCGCGGTGACGAGCGGAGCGGTGGGGTGTGTGGGAGGATATTGGCAGAGGTGCCGCCTTTGCCAGAAGAGCATTCCAAGATGTTTGTGGTCTAAACGCCTCAACTGCTTAGTACAACCAGAGTTGTTTGATGTTGTTTGGTAAATGACGGTGAACGATTCTTCAACGAATGGCAGACCAGGAGTCCTGGAGATGGCCGCTTTGGTGGATGACTCTGTGTTTGCCACCCTCTTGGCGAAGATAGGGGGAGTCTGTAGGACTGGAGCCTTCTGAAGCAATGAACAGCCATATCATAAAAAGGAGTGTTTTTGTTGGGGGATGGGAACAGGGACTGTTGATATTTGTTGATCACTAAAATATTTATAAATATTTATAAAACAATAACAATAATAATCATGATAATATATGGATACTCACCCACATACCGGAGTGGTTTTACAGCTCCATATGGAGGTGTTTTGTTCAACTGTCAACGTCAGATCTTGCCACTCCGGGAACTCAGGCCCTTGTCACGTCCCTCGACTGACGTAAGTCACTCGACCCGACCGTTCGAGGCGTTCGAGAAGGAAGAGCTGGAGAAGGAAGAGCTTGAGAAAGAAGAAGACGCGGAAGACGATTTGTTTTTTGTGTAAGTACAAACCGAACCTTCTTCTGATCCGCTCTCGCGGGATCCCGCGAGCAGCGGAGGCGGAGTTCAGCTGCGTTTTTTCAAAGCCCGAGAGTGTAGAAGATCTGGTTGTCAACACTTGGAAACGTAGCAGACTATAATATACTATAGGTTCCAAGGGATAGAGGACTTTTGATTGCAACTGATTAGCAAAGGGGTTGTTCGAAAAGAATAGATGACCAACGCCAAATGCATCCAACATGGTAGGTCCTGGAGGAAGCCTGATCCAATCATTGCTTGGCCAGAAATCATCATGTTGTTGCCGGTTGTTTGAGATCCAGATTAACCCATTCTGGGTGTCTATTAAAATAGGGAGGCCTCCCAGTTCGACTTCCTGGAAGAGGGACCATGGACGAAACCCATTGGTTGGGTGTCTCCTTATATAAGGCGTAACATAGGCACGAAGTCTTGGATCCATAGCTGCCCAATCCAGTGGATCCAGTTACCAGTAGGTAACCAGTGGTTCCAGTGAAACTGACCTCTGTAGTACCACTGCCCCACCATGGTTCGTCATATCATGGCTGCTTGGGGGGATCTGCCGTGACAGTGTAGAGCTGCTGGGTGACGACTCTCGCGTTTGTGGCACTCGCGCTCGACCAAGCCGAGCTCCGCTCAGAATCGCTCCTCCGCAGCCGGACTCGAGAGACCTGCCGGACTCGGTAGTCATCATGTGCCTTCAAAAGGTTCCTGTGAGAATCTTTCGCCACCTTTGGGGATGGATTTGTTGAGGGTCCAAGCCGTATTTTTGGGACATGGCGATGTTTTTTGGGGCGAAGGACAAGAGAGGCCAAAGTATAGAGCCTGATGATGTGACGTGTTTTTGGTCCATGTTCTCCTGATTTTTGCCCATGAAGTGCTGGAAAAAAGAATCTGGGCCATCACCACTGAAGTGAGCAAACCCCAGGCCGCTGGACCATCACAACATCCACCCATTTGGCTGAACTGTAGAGGATTTAAACTTTAAACTGCTTGCAAACAAGTCCCAGAGAGCCAAGAACCATCTCTCTAGACAGACACGTTCGGCGGTTTTTGGGTGGCTAGCAAGCCCATCAGTATGTCAGGTTGTGTAGGGTTGCAGTGCGGATGGCATTGTATTGGAACGTTTGGACGATTCTATAAGTTTTAGATGCTTTTCGCATACTAGCCACCCCCTCGCTCACAACTCTGATACGACTTGTCCAAGTACCGCGCTTCTGGTCCCATGTGTTCCGCACTTGTTGCTGCTGGGCCACAGCGATGATCTACCCATGCCGAGTCCGCCACCTCCGGTCCATCCCCGGGCGGTCCGGTCTCCAGCCTCGGCGCGGGGGTCCGGCTTTCCGAAAGGTGCCCGGTGTGGGGGCAGTGAAGATCGGTCTGAGGACCCGATCTTCGGAGCTTCGTTGGTTTTTCAACTGGCAAGGAATTGAGAAGATCGTATGGGGTGTCTGAAACAATCATGGAAGGGGAAAATCACTCAACAGTCGGTGTAAGGTTTGGACATCGGCACACAAAGTTGCAAAAGAAGGGTTGGGAGGACCAAAGGGCAGCACATTGTTTGCGGTGGATGCTTTCTATTACATACTGGAGGAAAACTAGACCATGATAGAGACCAATGATAGACCTCAACCATCTTGGTCTGAAAATCTCTTTAGATCCCTGAGTGGAGTAGGATAGTCCAATGAAGTCCATGGGACACCCGTTGGATGGTGTTGGGATTTGACCACCCCAGCGCATCCAGGCAAACCACTGTAGCCGCTGGTAACCAGTGATTCCAAAAGACTAAAGATACTAAAGCCATAGACCGAACGAGGGCCCCTGAGGCCCCTGGTTCCTTTTTTCTGGTGCCAGGGATCCACCTGCGCGATAGTGCTGCATGCGGCCCACAGATCTTGCAGAGAAGCATGCAGCCCACACAACCGGTCTGCCAAGCTTTGAGACAGAACCCTAAACCCTAAAACAGGCCTTCAAGGAGGAAGGGGTCAAAAGGGGTCAAGTACAAGGAAGTCGCCACTGGTCGAGTAGACTCCATTGAAAGATCAAGCTGCTGATAGATACCTCTACACTATGGAGTATTGAGAAGTATCAACTTCCAAACCCTTCGCAGAAGATATCAAGTAGAGAGTGAATTTGAATTCCGGCAGGCTAAGTCTCCTGAGTGGGTCCCGGTCCTGTTGCTGGTCCATCGTGTTGTTTTTGTTGAAAAGACACTTGTAAGGAACTTTCGGAATTAGGAGGACGTGGAACATGTTCTTTATATAGAGGGTCCATTCTTGCGTCTATGTCAAGTTAATGGAGGTGGATGCGCATGTCATTCGCTCAAAATTTGTTTGTCAAAAATATGGATACAAGCCATGAGCCTGATATCTCTTCTTCACGATCTTGCGTTGTCAAGGGTACATTACACACAATTCAAACAGTAAGAATTTGATAATACAATTCATTGTTCTATACCGCTTGTTCCATACTCCTTACTTACTCCAGGATTTCCAGAGGCTCCCAAACCGGCCCCAAACAGACCTCCGACTGCAGCGAAGCTGCAGAGAAGGAATCCCAGGCGGCCACGCTGAAAGCGGGTCCTGGGAATTTAGACACTGCCAAGAGCACTAGTTTGTAACCTGGAAATAGAAAAACACAATATTTATAGGGATACAATTGATAATGTTCATAAATTCTTGTTGAGGTAGCTGTGTTTTCCACTATGTTGGGGTAGTTCAAGTGGTGGTGAGATGTAGTTGGGAGTGGTAGGTGTGGATGAAAATGGAACAAGTACCTCAAGGTGCTCAGCTCATAAGGTCCGAACCATTCAATCTCTTTTTTGCATCTCACGGTGTCGTCACACCGCATAGCTATCAGGCCTTGCGCTCAGAGGCCCACCCTGATTTTGGGCCGAAACAAAGGTTGACATGTTCTATGATCATGACTTAGTCAGTTGTCGGAGTCAACTTCACACAAGTGAAAAAAGGGAAAATAATAGCACTCCATAGCAGTGCAGGTGCTCTCTGGCACCGAGACCGCACAAAAAAATGTGCTCATTCTATACCAAACATTTGGGCCCTGGTCATGAAGTGTCGCTCCAATATTCGCTATCTGTTGGTAAACCATACACTTCTCGTGCACGGCGCAGCAAAGCACGGCCCATGCAGCCGGTGCAGTGTGAGCATGGTTGGAACTCTTTCACTTCATGGGTAGAGCGGCAGGTAACGCACTCATGTTCTAAGTGGTATCGGGTGCCGCATATTGACACCCATAGTGGTTGCCTGAATATTTGATCCATCAGGTTCACTACGCGCTCCTTTACAAACTGGTCCTTGTTGAACCTCGTGTCATGCAGAACCTGTTTCATCTCGGTGAGGTGTTCCCGAAGTCGTTGGCGATCTGTTTTCACCCTATTGTACTCATCCGTCAGGGCCTGGAATGCTTTGATGAGCTTTTCACGATCATTTTTGAGAACTTCGAGATGTTGTTGTAGATCCTCGTGTGCTCTCCGAGCTTGGAGGTTCTCTACTTGAAGATCATTGGCTCTCCGGATGGTGTCGTTCAGCCTCATCTCGAAGGCTGGAAAGTCAAGGTCTGTGTTGACCTCTCCATTCGTCGTCTCATTGCCCTCAATCTGGATGCCCTCATCGCTCACATTGGTGTCCTCGGACTTTGTCTCCGATTGGTCTGCATTATCGGGTGGATGCTGAAGGAATTGCTGCCTCCAAAACCATATAGTGGCATCAAAGATGATGACAAGGGTGATGAGAAAGGTCAGGATGTAGTGCCAGTCCCCTTCTCCATGGTTATGTTGTAGTTCGGTGTAGTTGTTTGTGGCTAATGTCGTTGTTGTTGACCCCAACATAAACATAGCTTGCATAGCGCGAGAACCCTTCTTCACTGCAAACGTCTCTGTATTCTTGTGTCGAGTCTTGGCATCTTTCTTGATTGCAGCCTGGTAGGTCTCGTCACTCTTCACTCGGACTAGGTGTGTGCGAAGTCGGTCGGCCAAAAGCTGTGCGGCATCGACTTTCGTCATGGAGTCCGAGTATTGCAGCTCACTGCTCACCCATTTTACATGAGCATTGCAGGCTTTCAGCTTGTCCTGACATACAAGCACTTCGATTGCCATCCGTTTGTCGGCTCCACATGCTGCTTGTACTTCTCCTTTGTTCAACAGGTCGTATAAGGCCTTGGCGTCAATGATCAAGGCTGGTGGTGTAGGCAGCAGTGGTGTAGTCACATCTTCTAGAGGTAGGTGTGGTAGCCAAAGGAGTTTCCAGAAAGTGGAAATGAACAGGATGGAATCGGCGCATTCTGATGCTGCTTCTGACTCTGTGCTCAGGGATGAGCGTGCTACTCGGGGTAGCTTCCATGACCTCCAGTCTAAGAGGTTTTACCGTGGTGTTTCCATCCATGGCCTTCTTGTTGATCATCATCACCAGGTGCCCTCCTTGGCTAGCCAAGTCTGCCCGACTGGCAAAGGAAGCATCGCTGAGTCCAAGGAAGGTGATGTCTTCTAGTGCATGGTAGCGCAATCCTGCATCTGCATTTGATTTTGCCATGCGAAGTAGTTTGTTGCCCTGCTCAATTGTCTCAATCTTGGCCTTTGTGATCTGTCCGCTAAGTTGTGAGGTTGCACATTGCAAGAAAGGTGCCGTTTGTGTGGATGGCCATTGCAAACTCCCAACAGTCCTCTCAACATTGTGGTCTCTCTTGCTGTCAGTTCTGACTGTGGTTCTTTCTTTCGGTGCTCCTGCAGTGTGATAGGCTTCATCTTGTGCAGGTAGTGGAATTGATGTAACAGGACATGATCATCTTTCTTTTCAATCTTGCAGCCACAGTGTTCCACCGCCAAGGAGGTCGTCAACGTGAATGCTAAATAGTCTTACGAGTGCTCCAGGCTGATCTTCATCCAGTTGGTTTGCCACTGGGTCGTCATAGATCATGAACAGGCATGCGTCGAGTGGATGTTGCTTCACTCCTGAGATGCCCATGATCCGAGAC